TTAGAACATCAGCTTTGCTCCTTAGGAAGACAAGTTGGAAAAATGATGCCTGGATGCACAGTTTCCTGCTCCTTCTCAGTATTGATTGCAACCCCAAGAATAGACTTTGTGGGGAAAGGATCACTTAAGCATGGAGTGGACATGTTATACTTCATCAGTGTGTGGCACATGGGGCAGACTATTCTGTAATCCAGACATGGTGTCATGTTTGAGTCCACTATGTGTGGTCAACAGTGCCCAGATCTGACTACTGAAGCCTGTGGCAAAACTGAAACAAGTTTTCAAAGTGCAGGTTTGCACATGAAATGCACGTATTAACATCTGTCAGAGATCTGAAACTTGAACTTGGTTTTTGGGGCCAAAGCATTCTGAATGTTTTCCTATGATGTGCATGGGTTTGGGTTCTATGCTGACTTCTATGAGTGTTTTCCTTGAGGGTCACTCTTCCCTGAGCTACTTAAGTACATAAAATGAGTAATGAAAATATAAATGAGCGGACAATAGCAGCAAAAAACTAACGATGAGGCCAAGCTGTAACATTTAAAACATGCCAATGATTTGAATTCCATCATAGTGGGAAAGCACAGTTACTCCCCTAAAACAGTGCCTTGTAGTTACACTATGCTACATCCTGTGTATCAAAGGAGGACATACAAGTCCTTGCCATGGGTGTTCATACACCAGCCTGCTCCTTCTTCTGTGTCAGAAACTGTTTAGGAGGCCACAGTCAAATTATGAGTTATTTCTGCCCCCTACAGAATGATAAATCATTCTGTAGTGATTTCCTACAGTTCCCATTGTGAAGTGGCTGATGGTTCTGCCCTAGTGATGACTTGCTGAATGATTAAACGTTAAGTTCTCTGTTTTCAAAATGTTATTGCTCCGACAGGCTTTGACCCGTCCTGTTCGAGAAGTGTGGTTAACATGAGTTGGCTTCTACGTGTCTGTCACCAATTTAACATTTATTAAGGCATTGTTGTGACAGATTGCACGAGGCTCTGTTAAAGTAAAGGGTGTGAAATACTCACCTGTCACTTGAGATATATTTTTAAGAAGCCACTGAGTTCATGTTTGGAGTAACTCATCTGAACCAGTCAGAACAATAACCCAGAGAAGCAGAGCCTTCAAGGCTGGAGGCAGAGCAGTGTGACAGGATGCTGATTACAGGTGGGAATGAGTTTGGTGGTGTTAAGATGTGAGGAGT